CACATCGACACAGTGGATCAAGCCGTCATGGACGCCTTCTTCGCCTGGGACGTGAACTCGAAGAGTCCCTTGCCTGCAATTCTTGTCGACACCTTGCTCTCGGTGGATTTTTGCCGCCAGAAGCAAGGAAAAACACTCCGTTGTTGCTCTTCACTACTTTTTGTGTGGGGCATCACACATTTTTATGCTTCTAGTCACATGGGGATGTTCCCCGACCCTTTGAGGAGCTTCTCCAAAATCCCTCTCCTTAAACTTAGACACATGGGGAAATAAGCTAAGGCGCAAATACGAGAAAGGAAACGTTTGCTTAGACAAAAAGCTTAAACACCCAAACCTAACCTTAGCCAACCATTCTTACAAAAACCTTTTTTCTAAAAATTAATAGTCTAAAACACAAGCCATTGAATTTGTCCTCTTACTTCTCTTCTCTTGACCATCACAACAAGAGGAGAGACCCCCCTCCCGGTTGGCGAGACGACCTTCTCACCATTTTGGCAAGGCGAGACGGTCGTCCCGAATGGCGAGACGGCCGTCTCGATCTTGTCAGATGAGACGGTCGTCTCGGCCTGACAGGCGCGAATCCCTATAAATAGCCGCATTTTCACCCTCATTTCACACAGTTCTTCCACCTTCTCTCTTGCAATTTCTTCAAATTCTCTTCTTAGAACCCCTCCGAAGCATTTCCAGAGTTTTCGAGAGTTTCTTTAAAGTTTTATAGCATTTCTGAGAGATTTCCGGCATTGTAAAGAGTGAAGAGCTGCCAAAACGCACCCCAATTTTCAAGAGTATTAATATAAAGCTTGCCTCGGAGGTTTCTACATTCTACCTCTCTCTCTTATTGTTTTTATTTCTATGATTAAATTGCATGATAGACATTAGGGCCATGTAGTCGTTATTTTAATTCCGTTAATAAAATGGTAAAAGTGTCTTTTCAAAAATTTTATTTATAAAATAGTTGGCCTATCATAGGGAACCCGAAAGGCACGTAAGGGAACTAACACTTCCCTTACACGTAACTAACTCCCTTACCCAACTCTGGTTTTAACGACCAAAGTTGGTTTTCGAAAACCAACGCCTTTTTACTCCTTTTTCGATGTTTCCGGTAAAAACATTGGTGGCAACTCCATAAGAACCCTTCAAAATTAGTTCTTGGGTTAGCCCAGTTATCGGACAATCCAAGAACACCCTTTCGAAAACCTTGCCCCTAGGTTCAGCCTGGTTATTGGACAACCTAAAGGCGTTGTAACCGTACCCATAAAAAACACGAAAATTGAAAAGTCAGAACCATCGCGTCGCTCCGACCGCCTCGTTTTGACGGCGGCGACATACCCTATTATTCTATCTACTTTCAGAATTTAAATGTCATAGCCCTATTATCTAATGCACACAAAGAAAGCGATAAAGAAAGTTGTAAAAGAGAGAGATAATAGGGAAGGAGCCTCCAAAGCAAGCTATATATTAACCCTTCGAAACTTGAGGACGCTTTTTGGCAGTTCGTGCACTCTACAAGCAAAAGAAAGAAAAGTCACTCTACCGAGGGCCAGATGTCTCAATAGGAGACTTCCTTAACCGATTTCAACTTTAAATGGAAATCAGAAAGCTCACTCAAACTCCGAAATAATGCTCAAAGTCACTCAAAAGTGCCAAAAGACTTCCTAGAGAGTGGTAGGAGTGAAAATGTGTGAATTTTCGAAGAATGGGGGCTCCTATTTATAGGGAACCGGACCAGGAAAAAGTGGACAGCCATCTGGACTTAGTGGACGATCGTCCATGTAGTGTGGACGACCTTCCATGGCCAAAAGTTGTCATGGATGACCGTCTGACTGTCCTAGATGGCCATCTGCTGTCTTCGGCAAATTTTTTGATTTTTATTGCCTCTAAAAACTCTTCCTATCTTAAATAGAACCTAGAAAAAGCTACTAGGGACTTAATAAAGTCTTGACCATCTTCGAAATGGGCGATATTTGGCTTTATTGGAGAGCCGGATAAGATTTGGGGTCTACAACCACAGTTGGTCATACTTGCCACCCACTCCCTATGTGTATTCACTCTTACCCCCGGGTATAGAGGGACTGTTGTGCGCAAGGGTTTGTGTAAAGTTTGTATTTCAAACAATTGCAGAAAATAAACATACAATAGCTATTAAAGTCAAACAGTAAAGCAAAGCAAAGGTAGAGGCATAATTTCCAATCTAATATTTTTAGATTATTCCATCACTAAATGGGATCAACTCTCTAGCTTCCCCAGTGGAGTCACCATCTATCGCCGTCACAAAAAAGTGGTTGGAGCAATGCGATGATTTTGATAACTCGTGTTTGTTTTAAAAATATGGTCATCGCTCTTAAGGTGTCCAATAACCGAACCACCCTTAAGAACGAGGTTTTGGTAAATGGGTTCAAGAGTCGTCACCGATATTTTTACCATAAACATCGGAAAAGGAAAAGAAGGCGTTGGTTTTAAGAAAAACCAACTTTGACCATTATAACCAGAGTTGGGTAAGGGAGTTAGTTACGTGTGGGGAAGGTATTAGCACCCCCCACAACGCCCCTTTTGGGTGTCCTATGATGGAATATTCTTAAAATAAAGATAATAAAATTATACTTCTACCCTATTTATTTATTGCAGAATTTAAATAGTTATCTACATGGCCCTAATAACTAATGTATACAAGGAAAGCAATAGAAGAAAGTAATAAAGGATAAGAGATATGAAGAAGAACCTTTGAAGCGAGCTTTTATAAATCTTTGAACTAGATGACACTTTTTGGCAGTCCCCGCACTCTACAAAGGTGCCCCTTACTCAAACAAAAATTATTAACTAACTCCCCGAATGTAAAAAATATCACTTGTACTCTGTAAAAATATTCAAAGCTGCTTAGAAATCCCAAAACTGGGTTCTCAGAGCAAAGAAGAGTGGAATGGTGTGTGGAATGAGGTGAAATGAGCCCCTATTTTTAGTAAAGTGGGACGGTCGTCTAGGCAAGTCTGGGATTCTAATAGGTGGGACGGTCGTCTAGGAAAGTGGGACGGTCGTCCCGGGCTCAAGGAAAGGTGGAATGGTCATCTGGGAAAGTGGGACGGTCGTCCTAAGGTTCAAAGGAGGTGGGACGGTCGTCTGGGAATGTGGGACGGTCGTCCCAGCTTAAATAACAAGTGGGACAGTCTTCTGGACATGTGGGATGGTCGTCCCAGTTTTTTCATTTTTCTTGAAATTTTATTTTCTCAAAAATCTCTCATGTTCTTAAATGGAGCCTAGTGAATGCTACTAGGGGCCTAATGGAGCCTTAACCACCTTTGAAATGGAAGATTTCTGAGGTCTACTGATTGGTCGGGCAAGATTTGGGGTCTACATTGTTTTAGTGTCTCTGTAATTGCTTTAGATCCTTAGTTTTGGGTCCGAGTAGATATATGGCATTGTTAGATTTACTTTCATGCACTAGCTTAGTGTAGAATAGCTTAGGTGCGTTTTAATTCATGTTTTAATTTCTTGCACTTCAAATCCCCTTGAAAATATTGAAAAAATACCTAAATATTCATTGGTGCATTCATTCTATCATTCGCACATTGCATTTATCACTATTTGATTTTTGATCGAGTGACACTTTTCACCTCGGTCAGGTTTTGAACCACGCGCACCAACCACACACTCATTCAGTCATCTTCCGAATATGTATCGATTAAAATAGCGATAGTACATGCTTTAAGTGATTTTATTCGATTATTCCGAAAATACATCAGTTAAAAATATGTCAGAAGTGTTTTTAGCTGATTTTAATCGATTAATCTGTAAATATATCAGTTAAATCTGAGACTTAAGAATATATTAACTTATTGAAAGGAATTTTAACAGATTAAAAAGATTAGAGACATATTTATCTCTTTCTAATGATAGAATCTCATGCAGTATAAATGAATAAATGATTATACTTATTTAATATTGATGCAGACTCACAAAACACCACACCCGATATCTCATAAATCCTCTAACTTATCAAATCTTCCTTTATACCAAAATTTTTTTGACTTCATCAAATCTTCAAGATCTTCAATCATCATCAACTTGGTGTTCTTGTTTTTCTTCCATCTCTTTCTTTCATTTAATATTGTTGTTATATGGTTCAAGAATTGATTAAGTTCTTAAATCTTGGAAATTTATAATCTATAGTCAAAAGTTGCGAAAAGTTTTTTATTAAATCAATTCACCCCCTTTTGATCTCTGTATTTCTAACATAGATATGTTATGAATATGTTGTTGATTAGACCTATTTTAAAGAAAACATCTTATAAGTTGTAAAAGGATAATAACAAAACATCTATTATCTTAGGGTTTTTTGAGGTGTAACTGTTTTATTTCAAATGATAAGAAAGTGTCTCTTACAAAGTTTAGAAAGTTTAATGTAAAGGTAAATGATAAAATCTTGTTGAATTATATTTTTTCTTAGAAAGTATCATAGTACATTTTACAAACAAGACAAACTATCTAGAGTGTCAAAATACCTCTTAGATATAGGTCTATGTTTTTTTCTTAAGAAATTGATTTCATCATTGATCTTTACAATTCAATCATATATGCTCTTACCTATCTCGAGAGCCAAATAAGAACAAAATATATCTTTTTTCTTTTTTTAAGTTAAGTTAAATTACTATCAATTTAAATTTTAAAGACTAAAAACATAATTAAGATTATAAATAATTAATTATTCTCATATAAAACTAAAGATAAAAATAAGTAATATTCAATTTTAGAGGTAAAAAATTAAATAGGCTAAAATCAAAACTCACTCTTCTTATAAGGATTAAAATCATTTTTAAGTAAAAAAATAATAATAGTAATTGTAGAAAAAGTTTCACTAACATTCCTCGTCATAATTCTGTAAAAATTTAATTGGAATAATTTACTACAGCCATTGACAAAATACCCCAGCTAACGTTCCATTAATCAGTAATCTCAGTCTAGTGAAACAGGTAAATAACAATAACCTAAATAGCCAAAATCCACACCTATAGAATCCATACATGTTCTGGTGCATCATTCCTTCTCCCAGCCAATGTTCTATACAAGTACATCTTCTGTACTTTCTGGCCACCATCAACACTACAATCTACCTTCTCATTTTCATTAAAGATCTCCACATTTAGTCTTCGCATCTTCTCAGCTAGTGCCTTGCAGGCTCCAATGGTGACATCACAGGACGACATCCACAACGATCGCATAGTTTCATACTTTCCCATGTCCGTTAGAAGCGCAGGGTCCCCGAAAGGGCTATCTCTTATCTCAAGCTTGCGTAGTTTCTTGCATCCATTCAACACATACATCATTCCCTTGTCACTTTGTCCAGCAAATGCAATTGACAGCATCTCAAGCTGCTCAGCATACACCCCAATGTAAAGGAAAACTCGATCAGTCAACTGGCCAGAGAGTGACAACCGCCGCAGTTGCTTGCAAGACTGCACTATTGCACCAAAACCTTCGTCGAGTGGCTGCAGTGTATCAGGGTCAGGTTTTGTTGGATCAAGAATACACAACCGAAAACGGATGCAATTTGGGCAGTTTTTAGCCACAGTTATGAGGGCAGCGTTTGTCATCTGCTGGCAGAAGTAGAGCAATGAGTGAAGCTTAGTGCAACCCATAGAGATTGCAACAAGTCCTTTCTCTGAGACTCCAGCAGGGCCATTTAAACCAATAAGGACAGATGGAAAAACCCGCAGTTCTTGCAAATCTTTGCATGTGGAAGCCACAACACCTAGTCCATAGTCTCCAATGCAATCCATTATCTGCACCAGTATAAAGGGTATTGACATTTTCCAACATAAGAACATAGATGAAAAGAATAGACTTAGGTTGATATATTTACCCATAAACGCTGAAGTTTCCCACATCGACGAATTAGTTTTATTAGCTCTCTGCAATGAATCCCTGCTGCATAGCTCAGGTTCAAGGCTGTTAAGTTCATGCAAACAGGATATATAGCTCTAAGGCAGCCAGGAAGAACCTCAAAAAATCCTGACAAACTGGTCATTGACTTGCACTTTATGATGGTGTTCTTTAGCCTAGTGTAGACTTCAGAATGTGGATCGTGGATAAATGACCCAATACCCAAGTCCACTAACTGAGGTGCTTGCATCAATATCCTTTGGAGCGCACTGAGGGGTACGGTATGGTTTAACCTTAAGCTTTTAAGGTTAGGAGATCTGGCCACAAGTCTCTCAAGTGCCCCAAGATTAATCTCTCCCTTAAGGCAAGCAAAATTCAGAGAGACAAGTGATGTACAGCAATCTGGAAAGCAGCTTAGCCACTGGCCTTTGTGGTCATCAACTTCATTTTCCTGCAAATCCAGCTCCCTAAGGAACCTACATTTTATAATAGTGAATTGAAGGGTTAAGACCGCATGCCTGATAACATGCAGGCCAATCAGAAGAAAATATTTCTGAACAATGTTCAATGTTCATCTCTACCTCAGGTTCTCCATGTAAAATCAAAAAACATAAGGGATGCAGGTATTTCACCTAGAGAAAAAACTTAATCACAAACAATACACAAATTATAATTTAATGAACTCGAGCATATCACAGTAAAGCTCAAGATACACTTACACGCGACTTGTTAGCAAACCATCATACGACATGTCAGGTGAGTTATCAACTATATATGCATAACAAAAATCAATAATATCATATCGGATAGAAAAACATAACCCAATCTGATACCACGTTATACTCAAGCAACTGAACTCCTCTTCTACAACAACCATTAATGCAAGCCCACAATTAGCTAACAGATCAAAATCAGCAACTAGTTGTTAGATTCATTCAATTGGTACTCTTACAAAACCCACACGGAAACTATAACCCATGAACAAATTGACAAGCAACAGTCCAATAAACACACAAATTCATGATGGTTTCATAATAGCAACAGCACAGTATCCAACTCAAGTTACATGTCTCACCTACAATTTGCAGCTATAGCTGCGAGGCCAGTGGTGGTGAACCCTTCACAACTAAGAAGAACCAGAGACTTGAAATTCATGAAAGAACGGGCAAGTAGCTCCAAGCCCTCGTCCGTGACCACCATCCTCTTCAGCTTCAGCTTCTCCAAATCAACCTTGGTCTTGGCCAGTGCTTCAATCCAAGGATACACAAAACCACCCCAACCGTGAGGAACCAAATTAAAATCAGCAAAATGAGGCTTTCCCTTTAAAGTTAAGGACTTTAGCTCAGGAAACCTCTCTATCACTCTTTCAGGACTTATAGAGTAACAGTTCCCTATGAGCACACTCTTCCTACTGCATCTCTCTAACTTGTGCCAGTTCTTGCACACCAGAGACAAGGCATTCCTGTCTCTTTGTGAAGTTACATAGCCAAATATTTGCTCAATCACCTCATCTGGAAAGATATTCATCTCTCTCTAAGGCTAAAGCTACCAATTTTTTACTCCAACCCTACATGAAAATTTTAATCCTCTAACAAAAGGATCAAAGAGAATAACAATCGCAGAAAACCTAGCTCGTAGCAAATTTGTAGTTTCAATTTTCAATACATAACCATGATCCAACCCAACCATCGACCTCCTTCCGGTTTCCACAAAAGAGAACAACACAAACCCCAAAAACAATGAAAGGTTTTGACCTCAATAAGACTGATATATTACGACGAAAAACCTTTCAAATCAAAATAGCAGTGACTCAAAAAAGTAAAAGAGTATTCAGAAAAAATAATGTTTTTTTTTTTTTCTTTTACATTTCCCCGGAAGAAGCAGACGAAGGAGTAAAAAAAAGGCAGACGTGTTCTCCGGATAATAAGAGAATATGAAAAAACTAAATTGGGGGGGAATCAATCAGAAAATTATGACCTACAAATCAAACAACCATGATTACGTATGATAAAATAATGTCAGAAAGAAAAGTGAACAGATTTGAGAATCTAGAACAGTAATCATAATTTTAGATGGAAGACCTAACAGTAACAAAAGCATTGAAGAAAGAAAGCATTTCATTTGTGTTTTACTCCGTTTTTGGTGATAGAGATTTAGCATGCTCAAGCCCTATTGATTGGGGCTGACTGACACAACATAACCAAGGAGCCAAGCCACCTTGATTCGTCTCAGACTGTCAAATAGAGCGTGAATCTAACGGCTGGCATCGGTTTTCACGATAGAATAGTCACTGACTTTTAATCAGCTGCAAAAATATAAAGGTAAATTATATTGGTTTAAAGAAAATTAAAGTGTTTTGTTTATTTTCTGAACTTATTTTTTGAAGTTGTTTATCATCTCAAATTCAAAATGCTTATTTTCCATGTTTTTCATAATATTGTTAAAAAAATGGTAAAATTACATTTTTTTCCTCATTATTTTTTATTAAATTATAATAATATTTAAGTTAAATTATTTAATAACGTAAATAATTAATATTTTTGACAAATTAATTTAAAAAAAAATGTTTTTGAGGAATTTCATATATGTACATCGGTCAATTTCAATAAATTGATGTAAAGGGATACAATATGTTCTTCATATATATGATAAGTATTTGAAAATTGTCGTGTTTAATATAATTTTTTTTTATTATATATAATGATTTATTTTATTAATTTTTTAATTATTATTGTCAAATTAACTATTAGATAATGTCCTGAGGTATACAAAATAATGAGTGATATATTTTTAAGTTCCACGTAAAATATAATGATATTTTTAATATTTGTTTCTAACTTTTAAAAACATGTGATAATCAAATGTTTTAATAATTTTTTCTAACTTTTTGAAGAGTGTTTTCCTCATAAAATATAAGTTATAAAGAATAAGTTTATGAGTTCTATCCTATACTTCAACCTTTCAAGTTGATTCAATCATCAAACTAAAAATATTTTTAATGAGAATTGTTTATTAAGATGCTTAAATAAAATATTAGTTGTTTGAAATAATTTTTTATTAAAAAAATTTATCTGACATAATAAGTGCTTAAATTTTTTTTATAATTATTTAATCAAATAATTTACAAAAATAAGCAAATCAAAGTAAATGAAGAGAGAATGAATATTTTTTAAATTTATTAAAAAAATTTAATGGGGTAAAATTAATAATGAGTTACTTAGAAGTAATGTGGCATTATAAATCTTTCTTTTACATTTTTCAAGATAAGAAGCATCTTGTATGAGTTGTTCTTATTGGAGATCACCTAAAAAGCCAAAGTGAATGTTCCTTTTCTTGTTTTTCAAAATAAGCAACAAAAACTCATGCAACTTTTTAAAGCATAATAAGCCATAAATTCAAATAGAAAAAGACAAGTTTAATGGATGCTCAAATTTTCATCTTTGAAACCTTGAATGTGAGTTAGTATTCATCACCAATTTTAATATCTCACCAAAATTTAACATGTCTAAACTTTAGCATTTGAATTTGCTTCATTTTTCAAATTATTTTTTTATGATTTTATCGGTGTATCTATCCACATATATATATATATATATATATATATATATTGCATTTATTATATTAAGAGAAGTTTTTGTTCAAATTAATTATCTTAAAAATTATTGCAATAACATATAACAAATTATTTAATATCATTTTAAAGATACAATTATTAATATTAAACAAGTATATTTTATTACCAAAAATAACTTTTAAGAAGATACAAATTAGATCATTTTATTTCATTACATTATTTCTTACTATCTTTTGTATTATTTCAGCAAAAATATTTGGTGTCCACTTGTGGGATCCAATGAAACATATACTAAATCACATTTTTTGTTAATCATTTAATCTTATCCAATCATTAACACAAAAGACATCATTAACACCCTAAAATTTCAAAGGAGATGCAAAAAAAGATGAAAAATTCAATTTAAAATAGTAAAGGCACAAAGAAGAACAAGAGGCTTTTTGAAAGTAGAATGCAAAATTAGAAAGGCCACTGGTGCTTTAGTTTGATCTCCTCTGAGGAATTATAATTCATCTAGACACCAATCCCAATTGTGGTATCAATTGCCACCACCCGAAGAAGATGCTCATACTAAAGGAGGATCAAATTGGAGAGATGTTCAAACTAAAACTGACACCAGAGCAAATCCAAGTCCGAATGCAAAGAAAGCTGATACTCACCACCATATCCTGGAGCAATCAAGCATGAAGTTGGGGGGTCATTCGCCCTAGGAATATTGGCAAAAGCCTTACCTAATGTGTGGAAAGTCCCCACCATGGAAAGGTTTGAAGGAGGATCAAATCTAAATAAGTACATTCGATCCTACTTAACTCAAATCACTATATTTGGCTAGAGTGATGTCTTTCTCTGCAAGGCTTTTCCCATGACATTAAGAGGTGCAACCCTAAAATGGTTATATGATTTTTCCGATTGTCCATTTGGGCAATGATCGGTTAAGGAAGTCTCTTTTGAAACATCCGACTCTCGATAGTTTAAATTTTTATTTGTTCGAGGGAGAAGTGCTTGTGTAGTGCGAGGGGACTGCCAAAAAGTGTCCTTAAGTTTAAAGATTTATAAAAGCTCGCTTCGGAGGTTCTTTTCAAACCCTTCATCTTTTATCGCTTTCCTTTGTGTGCATTAGAAATTAGGGTCATGTAGACATTTAAATAAATATTGCAAATAAATAATTAAATAGGATAAAAGCGTAATTTCTAAAATCTTTATTTTATGAATTAATCCATCATATGGAACCCGACAGGGGCGTTGTGGGGTGCTAACACATTTCCCATGCGTAACTAACTACCTTAGCCTACTCTGGTTATAATGGTCAAAGTTGGTATTTTTTAACCAACGTCTTTTTTATCCTATAGACCCCAAATCTTGCATGGCCTCAAAATAAAGAGTAGAAGACTTCCGTTCGAAGATGGGCAAGGCCTAAAAGGTCCCTAGGATAGATCAATAGGCCCCATATTAGAATAGGAAGGACTTTTGTACGCGAAAAATAAGAAATTCCACCTAAAGGGCCGAGATCGCTATCTCGTTTGGCGAGACGACCGTCTCGCCACTTGCCGAAGGCAAGACCGCCATCCCATTTGGCGAGACGGAGGTCCCGACTGTTGAACATTCAAGGACTTGATGTTGAACTTACATGGACATAAAGCTTGTTGATTTTGATGATAATTCAAGAACACAAGACTTAGAGAGTTGAAGACTTGTTTTATAGTGTAATAACTCTGTTTTGATTAGTTTGAGTATGTAATATTAGAGTTTAAGATAGCTGGTACATAGTCTGCACTTTAGAAGCTTCAAAAACTCAAATTTATCTTTTTGCCTCGACTTTAATCGATTAAATGGTCAAATAATCGATTATTACGGTGAGAAAAACCATTTTCTGTATCTGTTCACTGTAATAATCGATTAACACACCTATTAATCGATTAACAGGCCTGTTAATCAATTAACAGGGCTTTTAATCGATTAAAACAGAGAGTTTTGGGGTTCTGTTGATTTTGGCTCTGTAATAATCGATTAACACTTCATTTAATCGATTATTTCACTCAAATTTTGATTTTCAACTTCAAATTAAACCTATTTTCGAAAACCCTAATCCCAAGACTCCTAGTTCCGAAAATCCCAATTCCCAAACCCTAATTCATCTACTTAAGGTTCTCTATGGCTCTCAGAAAATTGAACAACCTTTTTCAAACAAAAGTTAAGAGTTGTGATTGCCAGAGAACTGTTTGTTGGAGGAAAAAGGGGCTTTTGGAACCTAGTGTGGGCTAGAAGCAATAAGAATCACTAAGTGGAGTTCTTAGTGGATTGTGTGTTGTGCCGTCTCTGGGGAAAGTTGTTCTTCATCTCTTGTGGGTTTCAAGAGAGGTGTTTTCTTTACTTTGTATTTTCAATTGTTATCTATTTGTAACAACTTTGATTATAGTGACAGCGTTAATCCTCTGTTTGAGTGATTAGCAAATGGACGTAGGGTCTTTTGATCCGAACCAGTATAAATCTCCTGTGTAAGACTCTATCTCTATCTTATTTACGTTTACACAAATTTTTAATCGGTAAAATTTGGGAAAAAATTTGAAAACCTAATTTTTGTTAAGAAACCAATTCACCCCCCTCTTGGTTTTTGTCCGACCACGCGAACATTCTACTGCGCGATTCTAACAAGTGGTATTAGAGCTTGCTTTGATAGTCATTCAAACTTTTCGAAAATGGTCGGACAAAATCAAACTTTTGCCGAAGGTGCGTCTATCAACAGACCCCCACTCTTTGCGAGTCAAAATTATTCTTTTTGGAAAGTCAGAATGCAAATCTTTTTAGAGTCTGTTGATAGAGGCGTTTGGGACGCTATTTTAAACGGTCCCTATATTCCTAAAGTTTTTGAAAATGGAGTAGAAGTACCAAAACAATTTTCTAGATGGTCGGATGAAGAAAATAGGAAAGCCCAATATGATGTTAGGGCTAGAAA